ACCCAACATTGAGCTGATCAAGCATCTGGATAGCTCAGAAATGAATAATCATAGAAGATCAACTGAAGATTTACTTGCCTACGTTACCCATACATGGCGAGCTTGATTAGAAAAACATGAGCCATATTTAGCTGTAGCGTTATATATTTCGTAAGCATTCGACCTTGTCTGATACCAAGGACTTCCCGACAAACTACCATCACACGTCTCACCACCTCAGCCATGCCTTCTGTTAACGAGTTTTCTTCCAGGTAGATCGCTCCATGTAGTAGTGGACGAAGTATCGTCTGATTCTCTAGCCATCAATTCCGGCGTTTCACAAGGACCACTTGCCCTATCAACAGTTCCCCTGGTGACAGTACCAGAATACTCATTATGTTTCAAGAAACTAAGAACGCACAAGCGATTCTTTGCCAAAGGGAGTATTCCCATGAACTGACAATGCTAATTCTCTTTCTCTTCCACACTACACTGTTTTACCACTAACCAAACCGATTTTTCAACGCCTCGACACGTGTTTCGCTAACTATGTTAGCATCTTCAGGAGAAGATTAAAACTAAATATCCTATTCTAGTGTGCTGCTTATATACTAGGTATATGTTCACCCAACTGTGAAAAATACTAACCGTCAAGTTAATGTTTTTTTTTTCTTCGTGTACTCCAAGAGATAAGGAATGACTGCATACCACACTGGAAGAGTTGTGATTGAAAATCTCATGTTTTCATTATGTTTTTCACATTCTGATTCTCGAATATGATACCCAGAGGATTTTTACGTGAAAATGGTGATTTGGCGTCAGAAGTTCATACAGTGTACCAAATACAACCAAATTCTAATATCTCAGTGTGAGCGGCTTCGATAATATAAGAATCCCCGTCTTTAGTGTGCCGATGCATCGATGTAGAGAACTGCTATTCAAACTAGAATAACGTCTCTCACGTGCAAAATCTTCTATCATTGTCAACTGAAATCAGAATGAGATAAAACCATACCATACAAAAATGGGATTGTTTTTACCATGAATTCCTGCAGTATGGTACGCCCCTGATTGAAAATTTGGAATTCAGAGCTGAAGTTCTGATTCAGTAACGGTTTCGAACATATGGAGAAAAAAAACATTCACGTGTACTATTTGAAGGGGTGTTACTCCCCTAGGATGCATTTTTTCACAAAATATTCTGGAGAATTTTGTTCATAAAGGAACTTTCAGGAATCAGCTCACAAATTTGTTGCCAATGTTGCGGAAACACCCTATAGATTGCCCTCCCTTAATTTTTCTCCAGAAATTGATACTATACTCAAAATCCTCCTGTAACCAAATTACTCAAAATTTAAAGAAAAATAAACATCACGTAGAATAATATCAGGTATCATACATAAAATTCACTTTAATAATGGTGGGTACAAATGACAGCTTACAATTACAGCGAAACGACGAATAATGAAGCGCGGACTGTTCACATTCACTATTTTTATGGGTTATACTGGACAATCATTAGCTTTTTCAAATCAAATGTTCTAAGCGTTCGAACATTGTTCGCTTGTTGACCTTGAAGCGGACTTTCTGTCAGTACGAGTATTAATTGTGACCAATCTGAAAAGCTGCCATCTGTACCAAGCAAAAGAAACTGAATAACGGAATCTTGAAATGAATAATTAGTGAATATCTGAATTATCTCGCAAAATTGGAAAAAATAAGTCAGTTCCCCATGCTTTACAAAAATCATCATCACCACTCAACCAAGTCGACAAGATGACAAAAAAAAACATGAGAGAAAATCTGAAATGGAATTCAAGAATATTCAGGTGCTCGGAGACAGTATCAAAATTACTTTTTACATGCTATTTTTTTCATTCTTATTTTCAGATCATCTTCTGAATGATTTATAATACTCAATTATCCAATCTGAAACAAATCTAATCCGCAATTTGAAGGCATTTGACCCTGAACTCCAAAAAATTCGTCTGTGGAGCATTTTCAACTATGCGATTTATTTGGTAGCCCCTGTTATTCAGAATGACATAAAACTTATTTTATAGTTGATTATAGGGTACCTACCCAAATCAATCAGAAAAATTCTTCATGATCACTTTTCGTTTCATAAGATTAATGTTCATTCAGTTTTTTACAAGCTTTTATCCTGAAAATACTATATCGTTTGACATTCCACACAATGCTTATATTGGTTTCAAGAGTGATAGTTTTGTTTGTCTATTATTTTTTTATCTCTTGAAGCGTACAGTAGGAAATTCGTTAGACGAAAAATAGCGAGTTTTGCACAACATTGTTCCTGCTATACGATGAAATTTTCAGATTCACTATAATCAACTTCATTATTTGTTATGGCCGCCAAATTGGATTTCCATCGATAATAATAGCATGGTAGATCTGAAAATGACATAACGCAGGGACAAAGTGACACTGTGAATGTGCTCCCGATTTTTCAGTATATCTACGGGAATAATCGGAATTTACAAACGGCATAATTTCGTCAAATAAATGCACAACTTTGCCCTACTTGATTCAACAATCTTCGTATCTCCTATGGTTTCCGAGATTCCAATAATGGTGACTCTCGAATTTGAATTACCCGGATCTATTTCTTTGATGCACCTTCTGTAGTAATTATGACAGCATTCTTACTGAATCAATGCGAAAGCGGTCCCAGTAAGAGAATGCGAGAATGATGAGAGGTTTTAGTCGGTAGGAATTCGACACTTCCAGCACCGACAGGGTCTTATACAAGATTTTCTCTCCTAAAAAAATGTTTTCGAACTCTTTGTAGTGTAGAGTAGTCTCCAGCAAGCAGTCGTACCTGGCTCAACACAAGCCATTCCCTCAGAGCGTTACCACCGATTCCATAAGGCCAGCAGACTCTGACGTTAACAGCTCGTGACGTCACCAAGAGAGTCCAGTGTTTTATTTTATCGCTTGTCGACTAACGCGTTAGTTCGTGTTAATTCATCGGTGATTTACGTATGTTTTTGAAACGGTCCCGAATTCTTTTGTTGTTTATTCATCAAAATAATTGGAGGAAAAATTACTGTTTTGTGAAACATTTTGTGTTGTGAAAATGTGGGTATATGCAATTCACCGCGAGGATTTCACTCCATCTAAGTTCAGTAGTAAACAGAGCTTAATTTATAATGATGAATTAATAATAAAAGACAATAACTCTCTCATAAAAAGTATAAGTAGAGAAAAAATAGAAAAGCTTTGATTGTGCAGTTAGTTTTGTATTCGTATATTATAGTCAACAATATCATCTCTGAATTCGAGGGAATTTTCTTGAATGTTCATAATAAACGGGCATTTTTGATTCTCATTCTCAAATTTTTTTCTGAAAACGGTCATTTGCCTCGTGGCAATGAATGCAGAATTCATTCCAATGATCAAATTGCAAATATCATATCAACATGAACTACAAACACTCTACCTAAAAAGGTAAAACTGCATTTATCATGATATTTATCATGAAGATATTTGACTAGAAAGTTCCAAATTTCACCTTCTTTTTCTTTTTACCTGTCTTCTGGATGGCATTTAGAACAAATTTTCCTTCTTTTTTCATCATATTGGACAATTTATATATAATTCAACTATAAATATAATTTTCTTGAGATTAATCCATATTTTGTGGAAAGAAGGAAGAATATCATTCAAAATAATGGCGTGTGTAATGTCATTCGAGAGCAATCTATTGACATCTGACATCTCGTATTTTGATTGACTATTGATTAAATGGTCGTCATCTGAAATGCTTGTTCACTAAATATGAAAAACTCGCCATAAAAATCATATTTCCTGTTGAATTTTCTATATAAAAATGTGCCATCGAAGTACATCATGAGTATATAAAGTGTCCAATGACAAGATAAGAGCTAGTAGCTTCAAATGCCCCCAACACAAGGGGAGAAAGAAGGCGAAATTTCGAACTTTTTCTTGGAATATCTCAATAAATAGTGGTTTGTTCACATTTTCATTATAAAATTCGGTTTATCAGACAAAAATACGTGTGCACCGAAAAAAATTAAAAAAAAAACCATCGCATGATAAATGCAGTTTCACTCTTAAAAATTACGGTTCCAAGTGTAACGATCCACTTGGGTGAGAAATCCAACAGAAAATTGAAAACACTCACTGGTTATCTTTTCAGGTAATAGGAATTCTCCAAGATATATATATAAAGGTAATTGTAACAAACGGCATGTCAATCAAAATAAAATACATTTTCCACAATTTTCTTTCGACCAATCTCACGATAAGTTTATGTTCTGCGGGCCCTGTATAAGTAGGTGTGAAGTTCTTCTTCACCACAATTTTTGCCAATATATTTGATTCGAATGGGTTGCTGTAGGTGGATATTTGTGTTTTATCCTGGTTTTTGCTTTAAAACTTCGTTTTTCCATAATAAAATCGAATGGGGTGCGAAGAAGGGATCAGTTGACGACTGGCATCCTTTTTTAACCGGAAGCCCTTCAAAAAAACAGCAAAATCGGCTCAATGATGATCTAAAACTAAAATCGAAATACGCGGTCGCCTTATAGCGCTATAAGTGCTTCTGGTTTCGAGCCGCTGGTTAGGCCTCACTAAGTGACGTCACCCACGGAGCATGCAGGCCTTGTTGTATCGGTGGTAACGCTCAGAGGCGTCTCCCATAGACAATACGAGCTTTGCATCAATTTATTCAACATTTCATTCCTCTTTGAACATTTTGCATCTTTCATAATTGAAATTATTCCATTCGGCCAATCAGCCACTCTCATTTCTTACTTATATGGTAATTTCAGTTTTGGAGTGTTTCTTTCTCTCCTACTCAGATGGCATCACACTCCACTTATATTGTCTATGAGAGGCTCCTCTGAGGTAATAACGTGTCAACCTGATTTTTGTTCGGCAAAACAAACCTATTTTTCAAAGTTGAACTCATTCAAGGAACGAAGTCTCTTTTCTGCAACACTAACTGATAATTTTGAATTTCGACAATTTTGTTGAAGGTCAACAATTTTATATCATGGATGGCATAGTTGGAATGAGCCTAACACCGAATAAACCAGGAGAACCCAGAAGACTATTTTATCACGCTATGTCTAGCCCTACAGAGAATTGGGTGTATACCTCCTACCTCAGAAATGAAACGATTTTCAGGAATAATCCGTTTGCTGCACCACAAATCTTTCACGTGAGTAGTATTAGTATTGTAACGTACATATAACAACTGGCCATCAACCTCGATGGATGGTTTTCATCTCATTAGATGTATTATAATTCAAATGAGCTCAACTCTGGTGTATCAAAATCACTATCCGGCATATTCAGGGCGTTTAAAAAAATTAGCCCCCGTTGCTTGGTAACGGCATCCGTAGTCGAGATACAAGGTGTTAGAAATTGAATTGTATACAAACAAATATTTTAAGATTATGTCGAAACTACAGGCAACATTGTAATGACATTTTTCATAAATATGACTTGCAAACTGCCACATCGCAAGAATTGATCATCATATTCGATTGACATAGTTTATTTCTAGTTCACACTTCATGTGGACTTGAACATCATTCAATTTTACATCAACGAGTAAAACATGAAACTCGTTAACTACTGTATACTGTTTCCGGAGTATTTTCATTAGAAAATGATGAACTAATAACTGCTGATAATGCTCAGCATTCGGAATTAACAACTTCAAAGTCAAAAGACACACTCCCAATTTATCGAATCCGCCAATAGTAACTGAAAACGCCAGTGGGGTGTGCCACAGTCCAAAGAAAACTGGCTTCAAGAAGAGGCCAAACCAACATTGGAAAACTTACCAACAAGGTAGTAAAAATCTGAGCCAAGATAATGACCAGCCATCGAACAGAAAAGCAGAAAAACACGAGTGTCAAACATACACACTACGCGATGATGAGAGGAGTCGACGAGGCGTCGACGTGTTTGTGGAACCAGAAGACGTCAAAGAAGATATCAAGAGACTAGAATTACTTTCAATCCATAGGATGAAATCCTCCAGTACTAATGCTGAAATTCCCCGGTTCCAGTGGAAAGAATAACATAAGATGAAAACTTCGACCTGAAATTATCCCTATTGACGAATACGGCATGTTTTGAGTCAGTTACGCTCTGATGATGCCACAATAATATCAGGTTGAAACAATTGTTCTTGAAAATTGTTCATTGGAGATAATCAATTTATTTTGTTTTTGATGCCTCATCCTATATACAAGGTGTCCCAGAACAATGTACCATGAAATAAACTCGGGATCCCTGGCTGTCTTCAAGTGTAGACTTAAGGAACTCCTAGTCAGAGAATGCTTTTATACTGTTGAGGAATTCGAATCCTACTTCTCAATTTTCGAATAATACCCGAGTTTTTCCGAATTACTGTTGGTCATCACTGTAATTGTTTCATCTTGTCTCACTATTTCGTTTCGTCAATTCCTCAATTACGCTGTTCTTTCTTTTGATGACATGTAACATTGACGTATCCTATCTTCGTTACCGATGGTTGAATGGATAGATATATATTTTGTTCATTTTATATTAATTCTACAGGTTTAACTAGAGACCAAGATAGGCCGATTGAAATCAACCTCCATACGAAAATGCACCGTTGTCCGCCCACCGTCAGTGGGCGATAAAAATAGTTATTTATTATACAAGGGAAAAAAGTAGTAGATTTTAGCTCCAGGTTGTGTTGTCTCCCGACGCGTAGCGGAGGGAGACAAAAAACCGTGAGCTAAAATCTAATATTTTTCCCGTGTATAATACAATATTTTTTCTGTGACAGAAGGAAGGACGAATCAATATTGAGAAGATATTACATTATTTCGAAAGTTTTTAACAAGGGACACCTGCGTTTTATAGACATCTTTATCATTCTTTTGAAGTAATCAAATATCTGATGTCACTTCTGTCAGTTCAATTCTGTGATTTGATTTTAAAAAATCGCGAATTCAGTAGTTGTTTAGTAATATACGAAACCGCGAAGTCGAATGGAAGATAAAAGGACTTGCAGTTCTTTCTCGGAGACGGTATTATTGACTCATTTTTCGGAACTATAGCACAACAAAAGCCATTAACAGAGTATATATATGTGATATATATCCGGGAAAAAAGGACTCACTTTCTTCCCACGGGAAAAAAGTAATTTATGAAAAGTGACATTTTATAACCTGCCATAAAATGCCAAACTTTTTTCCCGTCACAGAGAGTTAAATGTATTACGAATCCTCTTTGATAAAAATGTATGTAACTTTTTTGGAGTACGGCTCTGATCATATGGTGAAGTAGTTCATAAATATGTTCATTGTAGTCAATAATTCAACACAAATGAGGCGAAATATGACAATTGTCCTAATCATAAACGAGTATGAAGAAGCACCAAGATGAATTTTGTTAGATATCTCGAAAACCAAGAAAAAATATAAAAACAATGCAGTTAAAAAAAATAAGATGACTGATTTTGTCATCCATCGAAATATCAAAGTATGGTCAGTGCCGGGACGCCTATCAATTTCTCCGAAGAGGTCAAATATCTAGGAGTAATCCTAGACAAGAAACTCACGTGGAACCAACACTTGACCAAAATCGTCAATAGGGCGATTTCAGCTCTCTAGATATGCCGAAAGATGTTTGGCCAAACGTGGGGTCTTGAACCAAATATGATCTACTGGTCTTATCTCACGGTGGTCAGACCCATGGTCACATACGCTTCTCTAGTGTGGTGGACCAAAAGTAAGAAAAAAACAGCACAACTTAAGCTGCAAAAAATCCAGAGACTCGCGTGTCTCGGGATCACAGGGGCTATGCGTACGTGTCCTACTACAGCAATGGAAGCTATGCTTGACCTACTACCCTTGCATATTTTTATCAAGAGGACTGCAGCTCTCAGTGCATACAGATTGAACTCCACTGAATTGGCCAGACCAGGTGATGTCACTGGTCACATGGTCATTCTACAAGAAGTACAAATGGAATGTGCAACTAAACCATCGGACATAATGCCAGTCAGGCTCAGTTTCGATCATACCTTTGAAGTGGTTAGAAAAAGCCGCCCTAGGTACGGTTCCGCTGAGCCTCAGCTGGACAGAGGGTCCCTTGTTTGGTACACCGATGGTTCGAAAATGGAAGAAGGGATAGGCGCGGGTATGGACCCGGATGTAGGCTATTTGAAGCCTTAGGTCACTCCCCCACTATCTTCTGATCTGAAATACATGCTATCAACCTTTGCGCCCAAAGGTGCCTGAGCAAAGGTCTGAGGGGTGCCAACATATTTATCTGCTCAGACAGCCAAACCGCACTAAAAACCCTAAAATCATTCGTTTCCACATCAAAGATTACATGGGACTGCTTTGAAACACTCATGCAACTGGGAAAGGGCAACAAAGTCACACTTATGTGGGTTCCAGGGCATGAAGGAATCGAAGGAAATGAAGCAGCTGATCGCCTTGCAAAAAAAGGTGCAGCATCTGCACTTTTTGATCCTGAGCCTTTTTGTGGAATGAGCAAATGTCACCTGAAGGAAGAACTCAGAAAATGGGAACAAATTGAGAAGTCCTCCTTCTGGAGAGCAACTCCAGGTCAACGACAAGCGAAAAGGTTCATCAACCATTCGCAAAACCGAGCCAAAGAGCTACTCAGCCTCAGCAAACCAGAGCTAAAGCTTATCACAGGCTTTCTCACAGGACACGGCCCTCTGAGGTACCACCTCAAGAAGATGGGCCTGGCGGAGACTGACACTTGCCGTTTTTGTAACAATGCGACCGAAACCACGGAACACATACTTTGCTCATGTGAAGTATTAATCTGCCAAAGGCTGAACCACCTAGAACATGTCTATCTCACGCCTGCTGAAGTGGAAAAGTCAACCGTCAGGAAAATCGTAGGCTTCATCAGAAGTCTAGGGTTAGAGGACCAAAACTAGATAGGGGTAATCACAATAGATCTTCTAGGTCGCAGTGATCGAGAGGTCTCCCAGCCAATACGACCCATCTACAATCTACAATCTACAATCTACAATCTACAATCTACAATGGTCAGTGCCGTACAACAAGAAAAGTTACCATTAATTTTTATCAAAGAGAATGCGAAATACCTAACTCCCTCTACAGTATGTCTTTCAAAAGTATCGGAACGGTCTCATATTTCAGGAACGGCTTGAGAAAAATTCACGAAATTTTCTACAAAGTGATTATTGATGATGTACGATTCAATGATGGCATCGGCAATGTTGCCAAGTTTACAGTTTTTCAGATATTAGGAGTAACTTTATTGTTCCAAATGGAATACCCCATTTATTTTTATTGCAATTAATTGAGCGCCTCCTGATTACTTTAGTCCCTGAATATCAGATTCGTAATTAACGTGATTTTCGAAATATGACAACATAGCATTTTCGTTAAAAAGTTCTGGAACGGTCCCATATTTCAGAAACGGCTCAGAGAAATTTCATGAAAACTTCGACAGGATGGTTGTTGATGATGCCCGATTCAATGGTGATATCAGCAATGTTGCCAAATCAACAGTTTTTCATATATTTAGGGTAACCCAATTTTTTTCAAATGGAATACCCTATTTGTTTTCATTGCAATACATTCAGCGACGCCTCATTACTTATGTCTCCAAATATCAGATTTCGAATTGAAGTGGTTTTCGAAATATGACAACATGGCATTTTCGTTCAAAAGTCTGGGAACCTTCTAATATTTTCAATAAGGTTCAAGGAAAATTCATGAAATTTTATACTAGATGGTTTCTGATGATGCTTGATTCAATGGTTATATCGGCAATGTTGCCAAATCAACAGTTCTTCAGATATTGAGGGTGACAAAATTTTTTCAAATGGAATACCCTATTTGTTTTCATCGCAATACATTCAGCGACGCCTCATTACTTATGTCTTCAAATATCAAATTTTAAATAAGTGTGGTTTTTTAAATACATGCTCCAATGTAATGTCTGCAAACGGTCCAATATTTTCATAAGGGCTCGAGAAAATATCATGAAATGTTATATAAAATGGTTTTTGATAAAACAACTTTTTCTATTTGAAAAAATTTAAATACCCCCAATACCTGAGAAACTATTGATTTGGCAACATTGCCGATATCACTATTGAATCGGGCATCATCAGAAACCATCTAGTATAAAATTTCATGAATTTTCCTTGAACCGTATTGAAAATATTAGAAGGTTTCCAGACTTTTGAACGTAAATGCTATGTTGTCATATTTCGAAAATCACGTTAATTACGAATCTGATATTTAGGGACTCAAGTAATTTGGAGGCGCTTAATTAATCGCAATGAAAATAAATTGGGTATTCCATTTGAAAAAATAAAGTTACTCCTAATATCTGAATAACTGTAAACTTGGCAACATTGCCGATGCCACCATTGAATCGGATATCATCAATAATCACCCTGTAGAAAATTTCGTGAATTATTCTCAAGCCGTTCCTGAAATATGAGACCGTTCTGATACTTTTGAAAGACACTGTATATTGATTGAATTGGTACGACATGTTTTCCATGTACATCCACTACAGTGAATTGCATGCCCTACGAATTTTAAAGTAGTTCATTTCAAGGATTCCGAAATATAAAAAAATCTTGAAATAAAATTGTTCTCCATTGGCCTCCAAGGCTCAACGGTGCATTAGCGTATAAATGTGAGTTGATTTCAATCGGCCTAATTTGGCCTATATAGTTCACCCTGTAGAATTTAGGGTACGTTGTTCTGGGACACCTTGTTAGGTATGCATAACCATCTCATAGAATACCTATACTATGTTCCATCTAAAGGCGCTGGAGCATCAACTAACGGAGTTCTCTGGCAAGAAACAAAATGAACGGTGAATAATTCAACCTAATGGTATTCAACCAGCGTGGAACTGGCTGGTTGAAAGTTAACATCACATAGGTCTATCCATCCTAAATTTCCTAGTTATGAGATCTAGTACCTTCAATTTTCATTCGCTAATGGTCTCGATGAGAAAAAATCAATAGTATCTCCAGGAGATAGGAATTCATTCAAGATGTTATTCTCGCTCTCGTATGATTCAATGTTCAAGTTGTTTAACAATATCCAAAATATCTTGTAATTAGGAAGGCACCTAATATGCCTAATTGTTCGACAGTCCTTATATCCGTTACCTGAACGGTGAGTAAATTACTCACATTGTTCAGTTTCTAAATTTTTATTTTATCAATAATCATGAATCCGATGATTGAAGTTTAGTATAACGACGTCAATTAACCTCAGATAGTTGGAGTCGTAGTTGTAGTGCCTATTCATGATTTAAGATCGATTCCAGATCAAATTTATTGATAACAATTCGATAGTTGTTAGGGAAAAGGCTGTTTGAGTATATTTATAATCAGTTTCATTTCCAAAGTCAACATTGGACTAGCGCCATTGGGTATATCTACAATGAATCAACTTATAATGGTGAAATACACAAGGAGTAGAACTCATTTGCGAATCGAAAGGTTTCCAAAAGTTAGTACATAGTCCAATAAGAGGATTGAAATCTCATACAATCCTCTGAGAGACATCAATGGAAGTCGTTCAATAAAGGTCTGTACACAATGATACCATAGACTCCTGAGACTGAGCAGAAATTATTGAAACAAAATTAGAGCGTCCGAATTGAAATGTATTCTTGTATTTTTCCGTATATCTCAATATCTTCTTTGAATATCGATCTAATTTTTTCCAGGTACAAAAGGACAATTATGCTTTGAAAACTTGCTAAACCATTTCAATTGGATGTTTAATTGGAGTACCTACTGTTGATCGAAAATGTTATAGAACTTCTTCTGAGTACTCCACTGAACAGATCCCATTGTTGTTTTCTATCTACTCATTCAATACCTATAACTTTCAGCTCGACAGAAATATTGTGATATTTGTATTGGTTTGCAAGTTAACTGACCAAATCCAATTGATGCTCTTCAGAATTATTCAATTATTGTAGAATCATACTCGATTTTTATGTGAATTCATCAATCATATCGATAATGTCCAATATGTGGCACACCTTCCCCCAGGAATTCGATAGACATGGTGTTACATGAAAATAAAAAATAAAAATTGAATTTCAATTGAATTTCAATTGATGCTCTTCAGAATTATTCAATTAATATTGTAGAATCATACTTAATTTTCATGTGAATTTATCGATCATATCAATGATGTTGAATATGTGGCACACATTCCTCCAGGAATTCGATAGACGGGGTGTTACATGAAAATAAAAAGTAAAAATCGAATTTCAACGCCTTGTAGCTGTTAAATAGAGCGTTTTGGCATAGAGGTATACATAAGTCGCTTGAAGTGATTTTGTTGAAGTAAAATATAAATAGTATATGCACCTCCTTCCTCTTATTATTTCAGACTAAAAAATATCCTATTTCAGACTTATCGAAATACGAGGAGTACACAGAGTTCGGCTGAAGCAATCGATAGGGATGGAATAATGTATTATGGTTTGCTGGGTGATATCAAAATCGCTTGTTTCAACACACAAGGGATCTACCAGAATAAAAATAGCACAGCCATCATCGCAGATAATCCAGTCACCTTGCAATTTCCTGATGGAGTGAAAGTAAGAAATATATTTTTTCTACGGCTATAACACAAAATTGCTTTTGTTTTACTGTGTTCGATACATCAATGAAGGTACTTTGTATGTCATCAATTTTATTTCCGTATCTGATATCACAATGACTTCATTTTGTTATTATCTCAGAAAAATCTTATCGCTCATGGAATGTCAAATTTCAATCAATGACAGCCTCGTCTAATAGATGAGTATTACTTGACATGAAATCAGATGGCTACAAGACTAAGAAATCAAAAATACCGCTGTTATCTGTTACAGCCCTAGAAAAATTAAATAGTGAATAACTCGAATGATTGCAGCATTCGCCTACGGCTCATGTTGCAGACTTCATTCTCGTAGGGAATCATTATCATTCCATGCTCGTTAAGCAACATACTATTGAACATTGACAACTGACAGAGTTGGACGCAGTTGGACGAATATACAAAACACAGATACGGCCAGTTTCAGAATATTTTTCTCATGTATGGGGTTTAGCACCCGAACATACGCTGTTGCTCCAAATATCCATCCAGAAAAAAGCCTATTTCATAAGCTCGATGTTGATAGCTTTTAACCATGATCTTAAAAATAATAGATAGCAGTGCGATCGGGCTGTAGTTGCTAGGTAGGGTGTTTTTGCCTTTTTTAGGAACTGGTTGTACCCTCGCAATTTTCTAGTTGGACGGGAATATCCCCAATTCATAAGAGTAGTTGAACAACCTGCAGAAAACAGGTGATGCTTCGGCAGCAAATTTCTTGAGAACAATCGGTGGGACTCCGTCGGAGCCACAAGCTTTGTTGGTGTTGAGTCCCAATGATATCTTCCTCATAGTACGTTGGCGAAAGGTGATCTCGGGCCTATGACTATCAATTGGCGTTATGTTTGGAGGTTGTTTGCCCAATGATTCCAGAGTGGAATTTCCAGCGAATAAATGCGCAAAAATGTTGGCTTTCTTCTGGGCAGTTGTGGCTAGTGTTCCATCTTCCTTGGTTAGAGGAGAACACGAACTGGAAGTGAAGTTTCTTCCTACAACTTTGGCGAAAGACCAAAATGAACGGAATCCGTTAGGACATTCAACAAGTTTTGATCTTATTTTCGCCTTATGAGTATCCTTCGATGATCGAATTGTCTCATTGCATATGCCTCTAGCCTCGACATATTCTGCTCTAGTCTCAGAGCCTCTATTTTTCTGCCATAGATGGAATGCTGCCTGTTTGGAAGCTACAGCTCTAGAGCAGTTTCTACTGAACTGTTGGATCTGCTGAGGAAAACAAACTCTCTTCCATGGAAAGGCTGAAAAAAACATACGAAGACCTTCTCAGTCGGCCGAATTGTATTGTATTGGCATACTGGTTGTTGACATCATTCTGGAATGCGGGTTGGTAGTTCGACTAGTTGTTCTAGACCATGAGTGATGGCGAAGGCCCCAGTTTGACGACCTGCATCATCTGTTTTGTTAGAGAATTTGAGCCAGGCAGCGTTGTGTACATTGAAGTCTCCCATGATTATGATTTCAGCTGTTGGATGGTTCTCCTGAATGAAGTCCAGTTTGAGTGATAAAAACTCAAAGAGGTTGTTATATTCATTATCATTAGGCGTTAGGTGGAGGCAGCAGATAAATTTGGTCAGTTTGGTATCGACTAGCTTGAACCACATCACATCTAAGTCTTTCGGTTCCAAACTCTCTACACGCGGGCATGAAAGGTTAGCCTCAGCGTAGAGGCAGACTCCACCTTTGAATCTGAATCGAGAATAGAGTTCGTAATCAGGACAGAGCATGTGCATCTTGTTGGTGGACGAGTCCACTTGAATTTCTGTTAGTGCCAGAATATCTGGTTTTTCCGTTTTTAGATGATGGTGGACGTCATTGATGTTTTTGTTGAGTCCGCGTATGTTGATGTAATCTTCAGAGATGAGTCATCTCGAGTACCTCTCGCCCGGAAATCCGAATGGAGAGGTTTTTTGCTTCCGGGGTGTTTTACTCTAGAAGGCTTCATCATCTTTATTCATAGAGAGGAGAAATTGGGGAAAAGGGTGGGGGAGACCGGAAAAAGGTAGACGAGACCGGAAAAGTGAGGGAGTGCTGCTGTAGCCACAAAAATATCAACATGTTGATCATGCCGTTTGGGAGACGGATAAATGCACGACTTACATGCAAGCTCTAGATGAATTCAAAAGTGATTTGTTCTTGAATCAATAGCAATCAGAGAGATCTGCACGCCCCCGTATATAACAGGAGTTCTTAGCCGGGCCAGATAAAAAACGGTTCAACTCTTGAAATTCACTATCAGAACATACGCAGCCTCAAAACAAAACTGCTGGAATATTTAGTTCTTTAGCACATTGTGATTTCAAAATCTTCGCTTTAACCAAAACGTGGCTCGACTCATCAAATAGCAACACGAAACTATTCTCTGACTACTTCGATATATACAGGAAAGATCGTGTCAGCTCATCAACAAATTTATCCACTGGTCGTGGAGTTCTTATTGGAGTGCATGAAGACATTGCATTAACTTAGCTGATCATTCATTTCCAAATTTCAAATCTATCGAGGTAATCTTAGTTAGAATAACTCTGGTATCTATAATTACTTTCATTTATTGCATTCGTATATACCACCTAGGAGAACTTCATCAGAAATTGAACAGTTTTTGCAAGCACTTGAATCGTTGCACATTTTATATGATAGTACTACTCTGAGAATTGGGAACTTAAACATAGCCGATTATGCGACCTATCTCCGAACTAATAGAACTTATACACAAATATCACTGTTGAATAACTTCTCCCATTCTCTCGACTTCTTTCAAAACAACTTTATATAAAACCATCTCAATGAACTCCTATACTTAGTATTCTGTAACCAGTTCTGCTTGGGGAAGAAATCTCTAGACGGATTTGGAAACTGTTAAAGTACTGGTCATGAGGTACATACCCTCCATGGAGAGCTTCTTGAAACTTCCAAATTTATAAGCCTGCACACGTAAGAAAACAATACTTCTCTGTCCGATCCTTTATGAGGTTGTTAACAATCTAATTACCTGTGCAGATTTGTTGAAGAAATCAAATTTCATCATCTACAAAGGACCCCGCACCGCAATAGGGGGGAAATTGACTTTCGGTGAATTTACTAAAATTTTGGATGTATCGTAGAACTCGTGATGCTGATCAGATGTCCCAATTATCAATGCTCTAAATTCAATAGTTTGGATTATACAGGGTGCTGGAGTTGACTTTTCCAAAATTTCGAATGGCCATTGTGAAGTTTCCTTTTTGAATATCAAAATCAAATCGACTACGTTTTGTTTGTCCATGTGGCCGGTGAAAATGCACTATAGAGTTCAATGATATCTGCACGTACTCACGATATACAGAGTTGGTTAAAAAATAGCAAATGTTCTAATTATTTCCGAAAAAGTGAGCGGTTGAAATCAATTCATTTTTGGACATTTCGTAGTATGATGATATCAACATCGATTCATGATAATTGCATTCCTTGAATCAGACTACATATTATACACAAGATGTTCAAGTTTACATGAAACCGCATCCGTCCTGATATTCATATCCATCGAATGATTGGAATCCCGTAAAACTTGGTGAGGAAGTTGATAATTCGTGATGACAATATTTTATGCAAATACCTGAATAATACAGGGTGGTTGTGAAAGTAGTATCAGTAGTAATAGTAGTAGTAGTGGTAGGTAATCGAATAATAATCCATCAATCAGGAGAAAGGTTTATTTTAGGAAAATATACATTTTACTTTTACTGTTATAATAGAAGGAATATTGATCCGAGACGTTTGCAAGTTGAAATTGGTCCTGGCAGGCTGCTTCGGATACATTGTACATATATTGAAAATACTGATAAAACCAAATTGAACAGGCATACCACACATCACTTTTAAAATATATATTGATATAATTTTATCGAAGATATAAATAATAACTGAACCAGTTTTATAGTATATTATGTAAAAAATGTTATAAACGTCCTTTTAGTAACGAGTATTTTAAGCACGAGCGGAGCAGAGCGGAGCGAGTGTTTAATAAAGGAGTGTCTAGCAGAGTTCATAAACGCGTTACATACTATGCTTTTTCTACGAACTCCGAAAATTACATTAACATACCTGCTATTTCTGCTAACTTACAAAATAATTCGAGAGGAATGGGAATTGAGAACATAATACATGCAACTACCTGCAACAAGCGAGACACGTATAAGTGATATTGGTTGTTGTTGTGTCCAGTCCATTGCTTACTAACCTTTGTTTCACGTTTGTTGTCATGCTTAGCGCAGAATAAATAAATTGTTCTTAACCCTTGATTACTCGCGCTGGTGTATTTTGTACACCAGCGCCAAATTTCTTGCTACCATCGAACGTAGAATTTTTTTGTGGCTCTAGACTTCCACCTAACCTTTGTCTAACATGTCTGGGATGTTATAGATCAGTTTTGTGTGTGTGTTTGTACGTAAATTTTGACGCGTTGTCACGTTGGTGCCCGTTGGTGCCTAGAATACAATACACTGCGTGGGAAATAGGGTAAATTATTTAAGTATTCAATATTGTATACAAACATGTTAGTTGTGTATTATGTGGACGCACTAAAAACTCCTCGTTGAACCCAGCACTGGATCCAACGCCCCATAAGTCGAAACTTGTGCGGGGTTAGGAAAGCATACGTTTTTGTTTCACCTGAAAACAAGTCAAATTCATGGTGGTGTACAAAATACACCGCGCGGGAAAAAGTTCGAATTAATTAGCGCGAGTAATCAAGGGTTAAAGATAGATGCTTCATTTTTACACTTCTTGGAGATATGCAAGTACCAGAACATTCTCTTCGATTTCACTTTCGTCTACATTTCGCAAATATTTTTAATGAAAAATTCTGATACCAACGAATATCGTTTGAATAATTCTGATACAAAATTTGAAAATAACAGTTGACAGTTAATACAATTGACTGGCCAGACATGTCTCAAGTTACTGGAGCTGTGTGTGAATTAATCACAGATCGTCCATCCGTGATTAATCGATCATTTAGCGTTGTACATATCCGTACGCTAAATGCCATTTTAGTTATGTGAGTAGAAAAAAATATTTGAGGTGCTTAATCCTAATCTTCAGATTAGAAATTAACCATGATCAACTCTGTCATGATCAATGAAACCACGATTTGATGAAAATAATCATTTAATGGCGTTTGAAGTCTCCCTCATATATAGAAGGTCCTCACAGAATTGGGGGTATCGCATAAATAATGATACGTCTTCTTTTCAATTGGCTTAATTCCATCACAAGCTGAAGGGCTCGTTGCGCATCACGATATACACGACAAATATTGTCATCACGAATTATCAACTTCCTCGCCAAGTTTTACGAGATTCCAATCATTCGATGGATATGAATATCAGGACGGGTGCGATTTCATGGATACTTGAACATCTTGTGTATAATATGTAGTCTGATTCAAGGAATGCAATTATCATGAATCGATGTTGATATTAGAATACTACGGAATGTCCAGAAGTGAATTGATTCCGACCGCTCACTTTTCAAAGAGAAAACTTCACAATGGCCATTCGAAATTTTAAAAAAGTCAACTTCAGCACCCTGTATAATCAAAACTATTCAATTTAGAGCTTTGATAATTGTGACATCAGCATCACGAGTTCTACGATAAATCCAAAATTCCAGAAAATTCACCGAAAGCCAATTTCCCCCCTATTGCGGTGCGGGGTCCTTTATTGGTGCTCTAATTTTGAACGTTTTGCGAAATACAAATGTTCTTGTTGACTACTACGGCAGTATTCATCTTCAGGAAAATCGATATATTATCTCGAAAACTGTGATAGATGAGTTGACATTGATGAGGTTGTCTAAACTTTAGCTACAAGACCACTGATCCATGTGAAAAAAATTGTGGGTTTCTGTTTGAATTAATGAGTTGATGCCGACTCATGACATACCCTGTATAGCTCAAGGAGTGGACATATTTCAGGTAGATTGGAAATGATCAATTACTATGAACACTACACATACACTATGAACGAATTTCAATAACTAATTTGCAAAAACATACAGTGTGTCCCATTTAAATAAAAAGAAGTTGGGTGTATTGTACTGGTTGAATCGGAAGTACATTATTATCGAAAATAATCTGATGCATCCTGTGTCATTGTACTTACTTGAATGCAAAGTAAATAAATGTCACCCATTTTGTTTTGAAGGTATTTACCTGGTTCCAGTCATTAAAGAACGAAACATCAAGACTTTCGAAAAAGCTGAGGTTCATGAGAATCAGCTCCTTCGAAATGCAGTTGATTATGACCCAGGTGATCAATCAAAGTTCAAAAGACCGAGATTGTCCATAAACTAGAAAAAATATCGACATTATGACCAAATTTACTATTCTCAAGTTTTTGATATTTATTTTTTCCGTTCGATCTCTTTCAATTCTTAGAATGTATTTCTGAAACTTATTTGGGGCAGAAGGGCTGTTCGCATCAAACTTCAATACCGTTTTTATTTTGTTCCATAATAGATATCAGGATAAGAGGGACTCTTCCCTGGTCTGAATAAAATAAAAGAAAGATCCAATATATGCTTTTTTCAACCAGGCAGTTTATCGCCTTTTGTGGAATACCATAATTCTTTTACTTTCGGCTTCTTGCTGGGTAGGTTCGTTTCTTCTCTTCGATCGCTCAGCCTCTTTTGGTACACCCAGTACTCAACCCAGTATCTTGCTGAAGACAAATGCCCTGACTCACGACTCAGAGTACGTATTGTTCATACGATTTGGCCCCATTCCAAGAGGCTTCAGTATCCATCGAACCTGACATTTTTACTATACTCATCTGATTCATGTTGATTATTTCGAAATCATGGATATTTTCGTGTGTGTGATCATTATTAAGATGATTCTTCTCTCATAGTGATGAACATAAGACAAAAAAACATAAACATTATCAAAGATGATGAAACCGATTTGTTAGATTTAACGACAATGCATTTATATAATTATGTTTGGATTCATGGAAGCTAATACCTACTCCTACATTGAAATTCATGAACTCGGACTATTTGCAATTGGTCAGATCTCCTTTTTGTATTCTTGCTTCCGAATCATTATTATAAATTATAGTAATGACTTCGAATTTTTTGTATATGATCATTTAAAAATCATCAAGTGATGTATAAACGATATTTTGATTTCAGATCAGCACTAATTCTCGAGGTAGACAAGAATTGTGGATTTTGACTTCAAGAGCCCAGTATGTGGCTACAGGAACCATGTTTGATGTAAATGAAACAAATTTCAGAATTATGGTAGCCGATGTTAATCAGTTAGTTTCTGGAACCTCCTGCAGGCATTCACAACCACGTGGATTGACCAACAATCCTGATATTTATTTACCTTGAGATTTATCGGTATATTCTGAATACTACAATCGTCCTGGATTGAGATTATAGTTGTATTATTGAATTTTTCATTATAATGATTGAATATCGAAATATGTTCTCATTCAAATTCAAGTCGAAAATTATGATCGATGAAACAAAATTTCACTTTGTTATGCCCTGAGATACATCAAAATTCACAGGGTGTCTCAGAATAACGTTCGTAAAATAATTTCATATAGTTATTCATTCCAGAACAAAAAGTGTACATGTATAGAAACAAATTGAAAATTGAGATGAATAAATGCAAGATACTCGATAAGTAAATGAATACTCGCTTCGAGATTACTTAATCTATTTTAAAACTCAGATAAAAACATATGGAAGGTATGAGAAACCACGTGTACTCTTTCCATCAGCATCAGCGATGCATCCCACTGAGCACATTTTCTCAATTGTTCATTTCTTGAATAAAGTTCATCGTATAGTTACTTGTTGTTCTTTAAAAATTCGCTTTCCAGATTCGCCACGTGCCTCTACGTCACAGAATTCTTCATAAACGGAGAATTGACCTACACGACATCTCATGATCTGACAATCCCGGACTGTTAACATTGAAACTAGGAAACGCTAGAAATGAAGTCGACTAATGGTCTTCCATACAAATATATAATATCAGTAACGTGTAGTTGAAGAATTTAGATTACTCATTCAGATCGAAGTTTCAAGTAATCAAATATGCAATAATCGAGAGCAATTTCACTTCAAAAACTGATAGAAAATAATTCTATAACTAATACAACTTGGCATTTCCACTATTAAAGAGAATAACGAATCAAATTGATCAATTAAACCCTACCAGAACTGAACGCGGACTTATAGGTAGATTAGGATCAATAATCAAATCAATAACAGGCAATTTAGACCAAAATGATGCAGAAAGAATTGACGAAGCACTTGAAATTGAAACGTTTGTTGATGAACAACTCACAAATTTGCAAAAATAAATTAATATATTCAAAAATAATACTCAAATTTTGGCTGAGAATCAAAAATCTTCAAAAAACAAAATCGTACAGATACAAAAAGTCTTGAATGACACAAAGATACAATATACAAATTCTAACAATCACTTTCTATCCCATACTTTGGTATCACAAATTATTATGGCTTTTCAGGAAATGTACGATATACTTGAGATAATTGCCATAACGTTTCCAAAATTGAACACATTCCATAACTCAATGGTAGAACCAATTGAACTTTTGAATGGAATAAAACTGATCAACCCTGTTCTGTAAATAAATAAATCACCTTTCGAGCCAACTGTGGAAAATATTCTTATTTATGACAAAGTGATAAAAATCAAGTGCTATTCAAAAGGCAATCAAATTATTTTCATTATAGAAGTCCCAATTGTTGAGAATGAAAATTACAATTATTCTCTCCTTCATCCATTAATCCGTTACCAACTTTCCAGATCAAAATGTATCGAACTTATTATACCTCAATCGAAGATTCTCATCCTAAATGAGCAAAATAACATGTTCTTCGATCAAAAATGTTAGGAAGTCTCAGCTGAACAATTTTATAGCCATGAATCAAGCCCTGTTAAGATAAAAGAAGATTCCCCATGCGAAATTCAGATGCTAAAATACTCAAACAACATCACGAGCTGCCAACCGATCCCTGTTGACATGAAGTCAATAAATCTGCAGAAACTTGGAGGTAATAAGTGGATTGTAATTTCACCGAAAACAACATACTGGTCAAGCAAAAGTGTGGATCCCAAATGGGCAATATACCTATTGAAGGAACATTCATTTTAGAACTTAATTCACAGTGTGTTCTAGATATTGAGGACATTCATATCAAAAACTATCAAAACCCTCGTGGTGTCTACAAGAACATTGGACTACCGAAATCAGACATCAATCTTTCAGTGATCAAGAATACTCTTGAAGAATTCCAACCCTATGAAGTTAGACAGCATTAACCTCGACGAAGTAAAACTCATTGCCGCATCCTTGGACCATCAGCACCAAATAATTAGGAATATGTCAAAAGAGAAACTCCATTTTGGCATTAGTGTTTGGACCATAGTCATCTACCTCTTCATGGCCATCGCAGTAGCAGCGGTCGCATCCTTCTACTATCGAAGATTCATCCACTCCAGGACGCAGTATATACATGATTCATTATTTTGGGAGGTGTGCGAAACTCGTAACCAATTCAATAAAAATGCCCCAACTTTTTTTGTTTCAAGATTCATCCCATTTCTTCTACCAAAATATAATTCTCAAAACACTTTTATATGAAATGCAGTTGAAATGCTGTGAAACGAACCGTTGTCAAGAAAAGTGTCAATTTTCATTTTGATGTCCGAAAGAAATCACAATCATTTTCAGCCTGTGAGCTCCTATGATGGAAAACTTAGAACTTGATGATAACAATTTCACATTTCCACTTGATTTTGTTCTATAAGAGTTCATCGTGATGTTGATTTGAAGAAATATATCTCTAGCTCTAGGGCTCAAGCGCCCTTAGGAAGCATTGTCCGAAACATGTTGATAGAAACATTTGTTATCATTTCCATCTACAGAATCACCACCTGGAAAACGTTTATGTGGGACACTCTGTATAGAATATATTTCTATTTCAAATAGGAAAGGGAGGAATACCCCATACAGCATCTCAAATTCCTGGAATATGCCTACTTCATCATATTCCTTAAAAAATCCTGCCATATCCCTGGAAGGTTCCATGAATATGTGCTCAATCTAATGTACTCAAAGGATATTCCTGGAATATGTTTTTTGAATATTCATTTGATATATTCCAGGAATATTGCAGAATCAGGTTGTCGGAATGCCGACCTATCCCGCATGGACACGACACGAGTCTGTCGGTCATCGCCCTTTGTTCCGGTCACCTAGTGAAGGACGTGATATCAACATGAACGCGGAAAACGCGATTATTATCATTATGCACAGGCAAATGGAACCTTGAATAATCAGTTTTACCTTGAGTGCTAGAATGTGTATCGAGAACTGAGAATAGTGAAGATAGGTATCAATGATAAAGCGACCAACAAGTTTCTGACTTTTGAAATAAGTTACAATAAAAAATAAAAAAATGGAACATTATCCTAGGAGCTTTATTCCTCTCGCAGGCCATTAAAACAACCTCGTTTCAATGAAAAAGTCGCAGATGTGTCTCAAATCCTAAACTGAAAAGGACCACAAGGACATTTTACATCTACCCATTTGTCAGATGGAAAAATCCAGGAAGTGTTTGTAATGTTGATGATATTGTCGAATCTCCGGATCATAACCAGACGTTGTCGGGTTAGCCTGTGTTAGCCACTGCGAGAATGACAGAGCGTGTAGCCGGCAGCATAGACAGTCCGCAGCAGTCACATAAAGATAACATTAATTTTGCCAATCTATTACAAGAATTTTAGTTCTGTAACATTGTACCTCAAGTTTTGGGTTGATAAACAAGTTTACTTCTTTACTACAAGGTCTCCCTCTCTATAACACTACAGATATAAACGTGACAAAGAAATGAACAATCGATTGGAATCAGCTGTGATTAACTCAGATGTTGACAAATTCAGTACATATCTATAGTTCTTTCAACTTTTGTTGCACGCCCAATGCAAAGGTGAGTGAATTCAATCAGTTTCCATATCCAAGTATTTGCTCTATATGCTATTCATGTACTCATTGCAGATTCCAATGAATTCATCACCGCTACCGATCAAGGAAAGAAGGACATCATATGATATATATAAATTGTAACCCTTACTTTTCTTTTGGAATTATATCATAAAAAAAATAAAGATTCACTTGCGAACGGCAACTCTTTCATCAGTGAGCACTATGAGTTCGTTATTTTTTTTTTGTTGATTTTGAAATTTAAAAAATTGATAATGTCAGGCGCCACTCAACTTAAAAAAAAATTATCTTCACTTCAGAAGCTATAATGGAAAGTTGAGAACCTTATAGAACATTAGAGAAATGTATGGAATATTGGGAAGATATATAAGACTTAATTGATATTAGTCAATATTATGGTGAATGTTCAGCATTTCACAAATAAAACTCAGTACATAACAAAAAAATCCAATATATTATATACAAGTATATACAGAGCCTTATTAAATTTCACCAAAATTATTGACTAAAGTCACGATTATCTTGAACATACAGTGTTGATAGACTTTAATGCATCAATATTATTGATGGGAATTTATGTAATAGTCATGAGAAACATATTGATAATATACAATGTTGTTTAATTTCATTGTACCAAAGATATCAATGAGATATTTATATAATAGTCATGGAAAGTGTATTGATCAAATAACAGTGTTATTAACTATCAAATTATCAACGATTACTCATGAGGTACTTATTTATTGTCGTGAGATATGCAAAAATGATAATATATAGTGTTGTTAAATTTCAATGTATCCAAGATAAAGGGGGGGATAATATTTCAGTGAAATCCTACAGGTTGAGGTTTGAGAAGAAAACTAAAACTTATGGAGAATAACAAGTAAGGTATGGAAAACACTACAGCAAATTATGAATAAACAGCTATTTAAACAAAAAAATGGAAACATCTATTCTCTCAAGAAAAATTGATCATCAATTTCCTGTATTGCATGATAATATTATGTATTGTGATGTCGAAACTCACTTAAATTGGCGTCCGCATAGTACTATGTTTCAGCGGTATCAAGTCGTACAATGATATATATAAAAAATTAGCAATACACAGTATTTCACATTACCAACCTGCATAAGGAAACTGACCTGTCACCAGGAAAAAAAAACATACCCGAAATATAATATAATAGAAGTAGCATAGATAACTGTTAAATGGTTACCGGAAATTTCATTGCTGCAGCATTCTCCATAGGAACGTACCCACTACGTTCGGACAACCACGTGACCTACGCGAAACATTCCTGGAGGGATAGACCCAGGAGATCTCTCCCAGACGGTGTTCCTGATGGCAATCTTAAGAAAAACGGCAATGGTCGACCATCACTTGAGAGCCATGAGTCGTCGATGGTGGAGGAGCCTAGGTAATGAGTGTTACCTAATGATGGCGACATCCTGACAAGCCGCATCGTGAAAGTGGGAGTATGTATGACCCAGAATCCAGTCCAACCAAGAGACGCGAGGACAAATGAACTTGAAGGGATTTAACCCTACCGTAAAACCCTATGACCAAAAAAGAAAAGGATCCAGTACACAATAAAAAACCTGGATGGTGGGACGTTGGAGATAACTTTGAATCCGGACTCACCTTCTAAGAGTAGATATACAAGGTCGATTCTAATATCAAGATACTAGAATCGACCTAGGATCAAATAACACATAGGTCGATTCAGAGATCAATGATACTAGAATCGACCTATATGTTATTTGATCCTAGGTCGATTCAGAGATCAATGATACTAGAATCGACCTATATATTATTGATACTAGAATCGACCTATGTGTTATTTGATCCTAGGTCGATTCAAACATCAATGATCTCAGAACAGCCTTATGGTTTCTTGATACTAGAATCGCTCTATATGTTTTATGGACATATGGTTTCAATATGGAAATTCTTGCGATCTCAGGATCAGGTGGTGAAGCATCTCAGAAATGAGCCGGGGAGAATTCTCCTGCTTGTCACAGTATCAAGTATTCTGAGACCCGCTATATTGAATGCAGTACTCAGGGTACTGTACATTTTGGATATAACCTAAGGGAGGGATCAGTGAATCAAACAAAGAGTATTATTTGATAATTGTATTAACTAAAAGTAGGACATTTCAGGTCCTATCAAATGAAAGGTCTTTGCTTGAAATTTACGAAAATCAACTTTTGAAGGGCCTCAAGGGCCACATAGTGAATATTATGCCAACTATAGGTTGTTGTATATCAAATGAAAGGTCTCTGCTTGAAATTTACGAAAATCAACTTTTGAAGGGCCTCAAGGGCCATATAGTGAATATTATGCCAACTATAGGTTGTTGTATATCAAATGAAAGGTCTCTGCTTGAAATTTACGAAAATCAACTTTTGAAGGGCCTCAAGGGCCATATAGTGAATATTATGCCAACTATAGGTTGTTGTATATCAAATGAAAGGTCTCTGCTTGAAATTTACGAAAATCAACTTTTGAAGGGCCTCAAGGGCCACATAGTGAATATTATGCCAACTATAGGTTGTTGTATATCAAATGAAAGGTCTCTGCTTGAAATTTACGAAAATCAACTTTTGAAGGGCCTCAAGGGCCATATAGTGAATATTATGCCAACTATAGGTTGTTGTATATCAAATGAAAGGTCTCTGCTTGAAATTTACGAAAATAAAATCAACTTTTGAAGGGCCTCAAGGGCCACATAGTGAATATTATGCCAACTATAGGTTGTTGTATATCAAATGAAAGGTCTCTGCTTGAAATTTACGAAAATCAACTTTTGAAGGGCCTCAAGGGCCATATAGTGAATATTATGCCAACTATAGGTTGTTGTATATCAAATGAAAGGTCTCTGCTTGAAATTTACGAAAATCAACTTTTGAAGGGCCTCAAGGGCCACATAGTGAATATTATGCCAACTATAGGTTGTTGTATATCAAATGAAAGGTATCTGCTTGAAATTTACGAAAATCAACTTTTGAAGGGCCTCAAGGGCCATATAGTGAATATTATGCCAACTATAGGTTGTTGTATATCAAATGAAAGGTATCTGCTTGAAATTTACGGAAATCAACTTTTGAAGGGCCTCAAGGGCCACATAGTGAATAGGAGGCAAAAGTTCGAGATTATCTTTGATACCATGGTATGCATTTGATCTGATTACAACAGATTGAAAAATTTTGATTTTTGTTTGTTTCAGAATTGGAATAACTATAATAAAGAAAAAAATACTATGCATTGATTTATTATTTAACCTCATTTTGAACAGAAATACGGTTTGAAAATTTTGTATACAATATTTTATTCAATATCGGGTTCTATGAACGAATAGACATGTTTTTTCAATTCAAAAATATTTTTCACAATGTATCCTAATATTGTTAAAACTAAAATCATAAAAATAGAATACAGGATGATCAGAGTTACGTTGGTCTGTGATATTTCCTTGAGTTGTTGCCATTCATATGAATCTTCATAAGCACCATTTCGATAATAAAATCTCAATTTGTATTCACTGGAATTTCTTGGAATGTATGTCATGTAGGTAGAGAGCAATCCATTATTCACCAATGTATACTCCATTCTTTTCCACGATGCAGGCCAACTATCATTTTTTATGCCATTGTTATCAAATGATATGAAAACTTCCTTGAAATTGGATTGTCTTGAAATATATGTTCAACTGTTAACGTGTGCGCATCGTTGTTATTCCGAAAGTCAAATCAAGTGGATAAAAGTAATATCTATTCCTTGCAAACCTGTTTTTCTACTGTGTTATCAAATCCTGACAAGTAAACAGTGACTGGATGCTGCACTTATGTTTTGATCGTGAGTTATCTAATACATAACCCTGCTTTCCTACCACGCTGATAAATCCAAGGAGTTCACCAATTTTGTTATCACTACCGCCATCTATCCGTTGGTAGCTGAATCACTTATCTCCCGATACAGAAGCATGTCAGACGGTTGTACCATTTGTTTAAAGAAAACCGATCGTACCAGAAAGGATACAGTTTTCTGCACAAAATGTTCGAACAGGTACCATTTATATTGTTTGGACCAAGAAGATCGGAAAGATCCCTCACAGAATTGGCTGTGCCCAGACTGCTCGAAGAAATCTTCATCTGCCGTGACAAAAGCCGATTTCGGTCTTATATTAGCAGAACTGAGGAGCATAAAGCAGTCCCAAGGCCAACTACGTCATGAGATCAACGACAAATACGATCTACTGAGTGTAGAAATAGCAAAATGCAGCACAACTTTGGCTACACACGGATCTCAGATTGCTGAAAATTCTTCGGCGATTGCAGCTGTTCAGCAACACCAATCTCTCATGCGGTCGGTCCTCGACGAGCTGCAGACAAAAACTGTCCAGTTCGAAGACAGGATTACATTGCATGCGCAGTCTTATGTCAAATCACCATCACTCTCTGGCCAAGAACTAAATGAGCGTTTATCGCGCACGAAGAATATCATGATGTATGGGCTTGCCGAGAAGGATGAAAATCACGACAAGACATCTGTTACCGAAATGTTGACCCTGCTGAATGTCACTGAAGTCCCGTCCAGAATGATGAGAGTTGGACAAATCAAAGATAATAAACACCGCCCTCTTAAAATTATCTTCAACTCTAACAAAATTGCCACTACGATTTTGCGTAATAAAAAGTCTCTGAAATCAACAGAAAAATACAAAAACATTCGAATTGATGATGATAAAACACCTATGCAGATTGCGGAACTTGATGACCTACGGAACGAGCTGAAATATCGTCTTTCAAATGGCGAGAGCGATCTCACCATTAAATATACCCATGGAGTCCCATCCATTGTCAAAAATCCAAAAAACTAGAATCATTTTCCATTTCAAATTTTACCTTCGCATATACAAACATAGCGTCTGTTTCTGCCAAGTGGAGGGAATTTTGTCTATTTGTCGAAAGCAACTCACCCGACTGTATTGCGCTCACCGAAACTTGGCTCGCTGGAAACATACCCGACTCCATCATAAACTTAAGTGGCTATGAAATCTACAGACACGACCGACCTAATCGAAGAGGTGGAGGAGTTCTAGTGTACCTGAAAAAATCTGCCTTCGTGAAATTCACCATTCTGCAAACTCACCATGATATTCCTGAAATCGAAAATGTCTGGCTTAATTTATCATCCGAGCACTTCTCATTCACTCTTGGATGTGTGTACAGACCCCCATCATCCTCCCAACATTCCGATTTGATACTCATTGATACAATTGATAGAATCAGCCATTCCTCAAACAACCTGGTCCTGTTTGGAGATTTCAACTATCCATCACTTAAATGGCCACTGAATGAAATTCCTGAATCACGTGACACCAGCTCCATATTTGTTGAAATGTTGATCAATTGTAGTTTGTCCCAGCTTATCAATTCACCTACACGATACAGAGCCAACCAGAATCCATCCCTTATAGACCTGTTGATTACAAATGATTCTAATTTATTCCACAACGTTTTCTCCGAATCTCCAATTGGCTGCTCAGACCATATCGTTATTACTTGTGATTTACAAATCATAACAAATAAAGAATCTCGTAATACTACTATTAAGCAAAAACGAATTGATCACAAAAAGCTGACTACCATATTGAACTCACTAAGCTGGGAGCCACTTTTCGTTTGCCCAGATGTAGATACCAAGTGGGAGTTTTTCTCTCATTCACTTCTCAATGCGATGAAATGCTGTTCATTTGAAATCAATGAAAAAAAGAACAGCAAGAAACCTTGGACTAATTATGCATTCATCAACCGTTTCAATAGGAAAAGAAGACTCTGGTCGAGGTACAAAGTGACAAAAGACCATAACGATTTCGAAGCACACCGCTTATTTTCCGAGGACCTCTCTCGAGATTTGAGAAATGCTAAGCGGATATATGAATCCGACCTCGCAGGAAAAGGAACGAAAGCCATCTACAAATATACCAGAAGTAAACTTGCCTCAAAGATGTCTGTTCCTATAATACGTGATTTCAATGGAATTCTATGCGACTCTAACGAAGTTGCTGCTGAAGTACTTGCCAGAAACTTTGATAGATCATTCTCCCCATTGGACACCTCGGCCCTACCTGCGATTGCTTCGCCACGATGTCCAAACTCGCTGAGTCATATTATATTTACTGTGGAAACTGTAGAGGAGAAGCTCAAGAATATCAAGGAAGGGGTATCACCTGGGCCAGATAATATACCAGCCTTCATAACTGAAGAGATATGCATCAATCATCGCAGTACCTCTTAGTCATATTTTCGAATCCTCCTTTCACTCTTCTTGCCTCCCTTCCGCCTGGCGACTTGCGTCTGTTACCCCCATTTATAAAAAAGGAGATAAACTTGACCCTGGTAACTACAGACCAATAAGTCTAGTATCTTTGTGTGCTAAAATCATGGAACGAATAATTGTAGATGTCCTACTACCTTTTCTGCTCGAGAACGACGTGATTCCACCCACCCAACATGGCTTCATACCAGGAAGATCTACAACAACTAACCTGCTCTATTGCTTGGATAAATGGACCAAATCAATGGACTCCGCATCACCCATCGATATTATATACCTTGACTTTTCCAAAGCGTTCGACAAGGTACCACGGAATAAGCTATTACATAAACTTGAACATTTTGGTGTCAGAGGAAAACTCCATAGCTGGATAGCTGCATTTCTCTCTGACAGGGTTTTCAGAGTGAGAGTGGGTACCAGTCACTCTAGTACTCATGATGTTACGTCTGGAGTACCCCAGGGATCGGTCTTGGGTCCAACATTATTCTTGGCATACGCATCAGATTTACATACCGCTCTAAGGTCCGACCATGCATTTTTCGCAGACGACAGCAAATTTTTTGGCAACCCACTATCCAGTTTCGATGAACTACAATCTGATCTGTTATCAGTACAAAGCTGGTGCGGCATGTGGGACATTCGTCTGAATATCGACAAGTGCTCTATTCTACATGTTGGCCCCACTAACCCAGAACTAGACTACTACCTAGGTAATAAAATCATTCCTGCAGTGGAGAACCATAACGACCTAGGAGTCATTTTCAACAAGAAACTAACTGTGTCCAATCAAGTAGCAGCAGCTGTCCGTAAGGCAAACAGTCGCACATACCTCCTTAACAAATGCTTTGATCAACCTGAACCAAGCCTCTTCAATAAGCTATATAAAGCATATGTTCGCCCACACCTTGAATATGCGGTGCAGGTATGGAATCCTCATCTGGTGAAAGACATTCAACTTTTGGAAAGAGCCCAACGCAATGCAACACGAATGGTTAGAAGTTTCAGGGATCTTTCCTATGAACAACGGCTATCTCGGCTAAGGCTTCCTTTGCTGAGTGATAGACGAGCTAGAGGAGACGCTATTCTGACGTATAGAATTCTGCACGATGACTTCTCTGTTGACCTATCTAACTTATTCCATCTACAGAATGATGATAGATTGAGAGGCCATTCTATGAAGTTGAAGCAAGAACATTTTCGAACCACACTCAGACAAAAATTTTTGTCAAATCGAGTATTTTCAAAGTGGAATGCATTACCTCGTGATGTTGTGTCAGCTCCCAGTGTGAATAGTTTCAAAAACCGCTACGACTTGGTGCAATTGCAATTTCAACAATTACAATGATTACTAAATTAGGTATCGATAGTGTATCATTAGAAATGTATTGGACTTGACACATTAATAGTTGTAACTAATTTTTAAGCTTAAGTATCTATTGGGCAAAATAGGCCATGCCTCTGCCCTTGTTATAATATAATAATAATAATAATAATAATAATAATAATTTTGCTGGATGAAACTCAAAATGATAAAACAAGGCTTTAGCACAACCATTTCGGACTATGGATTGATCAAAAATGAACATTCTTTGATGGAATTTTTTGCATGGAAGGACTGTCACGTGTCATCATCATAGGTGAGTATGATTCAGAGAGTGGATATTCTGTATAAAAAGCACTGATTCATTCCAGTTGGCAGTTAGATTCAATTGAAGATGGCCGAAGTACAAGTGAATGATGTGAGCACCTCATCTCAAGGAGATGTTCCCGTTGATTTCATTGATGAATATAGATGTGTGAGGAATGAGATTGAATGTCAGGATGAAATCATGAATGTGGAGGAAGTAGAGAGTGATGAAGAGGCGAATGTGAGGGTGACTTATGAACCATATGGTGCAAGGTATGATATTCCTCAACCTGAATCTCCACTAGAAAATCATTTGATTAATAATACTTGTGTGACTGATTATTCAAGTTGCAATAAATATTATCAGTTTTATGGTTATGTGGATAGGAAGTGGTTTATATTGTGTAGAAGATGTTATGAAGAAGATGGGGTTGTGAGGAGAATGCAAGAAAACTTTGAAATAATTCGATGTAACAAAGTTCATGTTCATATTAGAGGACATCTACATTGTTTCTTATGCAAGAAAGATTGTATCAAATATGGAATGTGTGAGTATAGATATAATTCTTCATTCAGAAACACGATTGGCGTTTGGATGTCAGAATTGATGTAGTTATGAATGTATGTTGAAATGGGAAGGAGTGTATGGTGAACGTTCAAGGCAATAATCAGAAGGGAACGCGCCTCAATTGCATCATTATTGTGGAGAATATTTAGAAAGTATGGTGAATGTACAATGCCAACAAGTTGGAGAACGGAACAGCTAGCAGTATAAAGGAATAGCAGTCTAAGCAGAAAAATCATTCCATATCGAAATCTTGTACCTCACACCACATACAACCTCAAGGTGAGTTATTTCGATGTGAAACTGTTGTTTTTGAAAAAACCATAATTTCTGATTTTGAGAAACAACAATATTGTGTTCTAATTCTAGATGGATCTTACAGAAATAAACAACTCTGCTTCATTGAGTGCCAAGGAAACAGTCAAGTTATCTGATCTTCCTGTTGATACGGCTCAACCTATCCTGTCACTACGCATCGTCAATACGAAATTTGGAAGGAGCGTCTTGGTGGAGTTGGACAGCAAAGTCGTTTTTCTACCAAAAAGGATCACCGAGCTACTGGAGGGAAAGGAAGCAGAGTTCATTCCTGGAGCTTATTCTCTAGTTTACAAAGGGAAAAAGGACGTGGGGAAGCCTAAGGACGCTTATCAGTTTGAATTGTTGAAAGCAGAATAAACGTGAGTGCTTTCGAACTCTATCAAAAATTATTTTTCAACTCATGGATACTAAGTTTTGTACCAAATGTAAAAAATACTATTGTTTTTGTGATCGATCAGTAAATATACATAATTTTTTAACTACATTGAATAACATTCAAAAAGCATATGATAAACCAAACGATAATTTAAACTTATATTGTTCTGAAACTTTAGAAAGTAGTGATCATCGGAATACTACTGAAAAAAACAAAGAACAAACAGGTTCAAGTGGGTTCTCACTTGAACCTCCTAAGAAGAGAAAACGTTGATTTTTAACCATAAGGTAAAGTAGGATGGATGAAGATATATCAAAGAAGAGTGATGAAATTGTCAAAATAATTCGGAAAGCATATAGAACACTCACATCTGGTAGATCAAATTTAGAAAATAAGAATCGATAGAAAAAATTAAGCAATGCAAACCTCAAGATATTCAATAAAGCTATTCGTGAAGGTA